TTATTATTCTCACCTAATAACATTAGCTGCCTTCACTTCCATCCTTAAGATACCATAAATCTTGTAATATTTGTCTCATGCTTTCTTCTTTCCAATACTACTAAACCTTGCTAGTTATTGTCTACCTACTTCATGAACTATTATCTTGATCCCTTTATTCCTCTCAAGATACTGGAATGGTGGAGGTGGTTGCTTCTAATCATGGATTAATATATTCTCATCGTGGGTATGCCCATCAACAATGACTGCTTCTGCAGCTGATCTCCCTTAGGGCTGCACTCAGTGACCAGTGCATGTTGACATCCCCAACCCAATGAGGAGAAAATATTCCACTGCAGCCATTACACAATCTTGTATATACTTAAACTGAAAGGACACAGAAAACAAAAGCCTCTAACCAAAAACTTGACTTGAGATGTATAAATACCAATGCAGAAGCACAATATTATAAAATAAAAAAGCAACACGTTTCCTACCAAAGTTAACACTTCCACAATAAGTGTCCTCAATGATAATGAAGGACATGAAATCTCAAAGAACTGAAAAAACATTAAATATAATCAACAACAGATTTGTGCCACCTATTATGGGCACACCTATTATCCCAGCTACTTAGGAGGCTGAGATCTGAAGATTGCAGTTTGAAGTCAACCCAGGCAGTAAAGTCTGTGAGACTCTTATCTCCAAAAAAAACTATCAAAAAAAGCCTGGAATGGAGTGGTGGCTCAAGTGGTAGAAAACTACAAATTTATAGAAAACGCGTATGTAGCACTTGAATGAAATCAGAGAGAGTACGGATAAACAGCTAAATAACCTCAAATGATTGAAATGAAGTTAATGCAAGCTATGAAAGAAGTTCAATAAAGATACAGAAATGCTAAAAAAAATTCTAAAAATGAAAAGCTGAATAATTCAAGTAAAAATTCAGTTGACAATTAGTACAAAGGAACAAATTGAAAATAGAATACCAGGGACTGAAGATAGAGAAATTAGGACACTCAGATAAAGACAAAACCTGGGTGCTGGTGACTGACACTTAAAATCCTAGCTACTCAGGAGGCTGAGATCTGAGAATCACATTCAAACTAGCCCTGGCAGACAAACCCAAGAGACTCATCTCCAATTAAGCACCAAAAAGCCAGAAGGGAGCTGTGGCTCAAGTGGTAGAGCACAGAAAGGCTCAATGACAGTGTCCAGGTTCTGACTGAGTTCAAGCTCACTAGCCTTGAGCACAAAAGTTCAAGAACAGAACCCAAAGATACCCTGTCATTTATGGTTATCATATTCATAGCAACTATCCTACTATCTCAAAACTAGATAACAAACAAATGTCCATCAAGAATGAAATAAAACACTGGCTGTGGAAGGCACCAACAAGGCTGAAGAGTGCTCTCCACGCTCCTCCCTGAACCCCTCCTCCGGTGTCAGCTTCGTCCATGGAAGGATCATGTTCACCCAGTAGACTCCACTCCACTGGAGGCCTCCTAGCCTCCAGCTTTATTTGGTGCTGTGACTTGCCTAGTTTCTGTGCCCTGGTCTTTTAAATAAAGCTCTTGAAAACATTTTAAAAAAATGAATAAAAACAAACTGTAGGGCTGGGAAGGTGGCTCAGTGGTCGAGCACTTGCCTTGCATGCATGAGGCCCTGGGTTCGATTCCTCAGTACCACATAAGCAGAAAAAAAAGCCGGAAATGGCGCTGTGGCACAAGTGGTAGAGCGCTAGCCTTGAGCTGAAGAGCTGAGGCCCAGGCCCAGAGTTCAGGCCCCATGACCAGACCCCCCCCCAAAAAAAAAAAACTAATAAAGGGCTGAGAATGTGGCTTAGCAGTAGAGTGCTTGCTTAACATTCATGAAGCCTGGAGTTCGATTCCTCAGTACCACATAAACATAAGCCGGAAGTGGCGCTGTAGCTCAAGTGGTAGAGCATAGAGAGACTCAATGACAGTGCCCAGGTTCAAGCTCCAGGACTGGCAAAAATAACTAATAAACCCATAGCATGGAATAAACTATTGCTTCACACAATGGTTGGATTTTACAAACATAATGTTTAGCAAAAGAAGTCTCCAACGTAGGGCTGGGAAGGTGGCTCAGTGGTAGAGCGCTTGCCTTGCATGCATGAGGCCCTGGGCTTGATTCCTCAGCGCCACATAAGAAAAAAAGCTGGAAGTGGCGCTGTGGTTCAAGTGGTAGAGCGCTAGCCTTGAGCTGAAGACCTTAGGGACAGCCCCCAGACCCAGAGTTCGGGCCCCACGACTGGACCCCCCCCCCAAATAAAAAGAAGTCTCCGACGTGTAACATTACTTGATTCATACAAATTTCAAAATTAAGAAGATGTAGTGATATACACCTATAATCCAGCACTAGAGTAGTTGAGGAAGGAAGATTGTTTGAGGTCAGCCTGAGACCCTATCTCAAAAAAGAAAGAAAGGGCTGGGAATGTGGCTTAGTGGCAGAGTGCTTACCTAGCATGCATGAGGCCCTGGGTTCAATTCCTCAGCATTACATAAACATAAAGCTGGCAGTGGTGCTGTGGCTCAAGTGGTAGAGTGCTAACCTTGAACTGAAGAGCTGAGGGACAACACCCAGGCCCAGAGTTCAAGCCCCATGACTGACCAAAAAAAAAAAAAAAGCGGGGGGTGGGGGGAGGTAGGAAGATGGCTCAGTTGTAGAGCTCTTGCCTTGCATGGATGAGGCCATGGGTTCGCTTCCTCAGCACCACATAAGCAGAAAAAGCCAGAAGTGGTGCTGTGGCTCAGGTAGCAGAGTGCTAGCTTTGAGCTGAAGAGCTGAGGGAAAGCAAAGAAAGAGAGGGGGGGGGGACAAGGAAGGAAGGAAAAAAAGAGGAATTAAAATATAGTACTTAGGAACATAGAGATATATAGAAGGGCATCAGTGGCTTGTGCCTGTAATCCTAGGTATTCAGGAGGCTGAGATCTGAGGATCAAGGTTTGAAGCCAACCCAGACAGAAAAGTCCATGAGAATCTTATCTCCAATAAACTACTTAGAAGAAGCCAGAAGTGGTGCTATGGTTCAAGTGGTAGAGTGCTAGCCTTGAGTGGAAAAAAACCCTCAGTTCAAGTTCCACAACCAACTAGAAAGATAGAGACAAAGAGGAAAGAAGGAAGGAAGGGAGGGAGGGAGGGAGAATGTTAAAGTGAAGAGTGGACTGTGATGGGAGAACTGGAGACCTGGTGGTGAGTGCTCTTTTTATGTGCATTTAAAGCACGTTTCTGTGTATATATGAATGAATGCGTGCAGGAGTGTGTATATGAATGAATGCGTGCAGGAGTGTGTATATGAATGAATGTGTGCAGGAGTGTGCTTTATGTGTTTACTATATATTTGACAAAAAAATACACAAATGACCACTAAATATAAAAAGGCATTCAAGTAGAAAAATTAAGGTTAAAACAGCAATGATCACTGGTCATAATTTTCGAAAAAACAGTAGTCATTCTCATATGCTGCCTGTAGGAATGTAAAATAATAAGATCCTTCTGGAAACCAATATGACAATATGTATGAAAAATATAAAACATATTTATCTTGTGAATGTTCTATTCCAATCCTATTATTGTATCCTTCTGAGATACTAGCACAGGCATGCATGCAAAGATGTTTTCACTACAAAATTGTTTATAGTAGGGAAAAGACCAAATAAGTGTCACTAAGGGAATATTGACAAAAAAGTCCATGATTTATACAATGAAATACTATTAAAAAATAAGGGACATTTTTATGAACTGACATGGAGGGCCCAGAGACATACTAAATAAAAGCAAGTAAACAGAGTCATACAGATTCATACATATATATCGTAATCCTGGCTTTTAATGCAAAATAGAAATACAGGTTTATAGAGATGTATGAAAAACAACCATAAATTTATACTCTATTAACTGAAATCATTTCATTAAGCTGAGGGTGGGAGAGGGGAGGAGCACAAGGGGTAAAGAAATTACTTTCGCATCGTACTCTAACCACACATATAGGTAATTACATATCCATGATCTAGTTGAATGTGTTTAACACATACTATAGCAGAAATAATTTTGTTTCATTCTAATAAGATTGATCTAGTTCTGGAAGTAGCTTACTTTTGAAATTTGTTTGCTCCTGACGGGCCTGTCTGGTTGCAATCCCAGACTGTCAGCCATCAGCGGAGGAGTGCTGAGTAGGATAGTAAGTGTACCCCTTGAAAACATTTGCAAACGTTCTATAACCAGTTCACTGGCAATAGCAATGTCTTCTCAGAGTACTTCACTAAAGTAAACAAATTCTGATGTTACACATTGAAAAACACCTATAGCAAAAGTGTAGCTGTGGCTGTCAAAATGCATGCTTCGATTGAAGTTAGTAATCATACCCTTGATGAGTGACTTTTTGGAATAAGTTGTTTTCATTTGGACTCCTAAGTAAAGTGCTAGATAGACCCTACTAAATCACTCTTTAGGAGCTTTTCTTCTCTTTCTTCTCACTCTACCTAAGCCCTTTCCAAACCAAACTATCTTCTATAAAGGTGGGAGGGAGCAAACCGGATCATAAGTGATTTGGAACCAGTAGTGAATCAGCATTTGTGAAGAAAAATCCAACTAAATGCATACATTTTAGTGTGCTTTTATTTTCTTAATGGAATCATACCATATGAAGGTAAATTTCCAAAATATCCTTTACTCTTTCAAAAGTTTGGCCTTTGCTTGGTGTATCAGAGAACAGCAACACTAAGCAAATGATGGTGGAGACCACCAGGTTTCCATGGCACACTGACAGGAGAGGCGTTGTCTCCAAAATTCTTTTTAACAGGAGGTCACAAACACACTGAATGGAAATGAAACACAACAGCACACGCAAATTCTTAGCCTGGTGCTCCGCAGCCACAGGCATGCATCCTCACCAAGTATCACCGCTTTAATGGTGTCAGCATTAGGTCATTTTATGCCTATTACCAGCAAATACCTTCTTATTCAAAAACAGAAAACTAACTTAGGAAATAAATACATCCAATATTGATGCTTTATTACCACAAGTCACCAATGAGAGAAAGAATTTAATTTGAATACATTTATTCTCATGATTCTTAATAAAACACTTTCGAAACATTCTGTACATTTCAAGCCACTTAGAACTGTATTACATTTCTATAAATGTGATTTGTTGGGATGGAGGCGCCAAGATGTCTCTGTACAAAGATGTACAATATGTACAGTCACTGTAAGTACAAGCGGTGCAAAGCAGAGTCTAGAACACTACACTTCATGCCAGGCTTAGAAAACATTTCAACACATAAGACTAAAGCTTGAAACTGCGTTGTGATTTTTCCCCCTGGGCAAATGATTATTTTATAAACAGACATATGTATATGTCATATAGAAAGAATAGTTGGACTCTCGGGCTCAGTCAGCACCATGCAGCTGACAAGACACATTACAGGGCTGCTCTGCTTGCCTACGGCTCTTTCTTCAGGGTGCCACTTTGCTACTCTCCTCATTGAGCTGCTGCTGCTGCTGCCGCCTTTGGCTGACCCACAGCAACACTAGGTGACTTAAATTTGGGAAGATAAAGGCCAAACTTGTTTTCAATGCCAGCAAATGTGGCAGTGGCAAGTCTGTATCCTCCAATGTGATCAGGATTGGCTGGAGGAAGATCTGCGATGCGGGACTTAGGCGTTGGTTCTGAGCCTGAGGGTTTGCTGTTGACAGGAAAAAGACAATGGTTAGTGTGCTCAAGACTGACAAGGACAGCTTACAACTGAACATTTTCACTCTGACCCATGTGCTATAAAGAAGCTTGTCTCAACTATTTCCATGTTCTCTACGCTGCACTAGTTGTGGTAGACAGCTACTTCATAGCACCCTATTCAAATACTTGCTTAAAATGAAAATTAATTTCAATACTTATACATAGATACATGGAAAAAATATACCCAGTAATATTCTTTGGAAAATGCAGTCATGGATTTTGTTTTTCTTTTAATATTTTCCAAATGTTCTACAAAAGCATAAATCAATTATAGTAGTATTTGTGTGTGTGTGTGTGTGTGTGTGTATGTATGTGTGTGTGTGTGTATGTGTGTGTGTGTGTATGTGTGTGTGAGTGTGTGTGTGTGTGCTGATTCTGGGGCTTGAACTCAGGGCCTACGTGCTATCCTTGAGCTTTTTTGCTCAAAGCTACTTCTGGCTTTCTGGTGGTTAACTGGAGATAAGAGTCTCAGGGACTTTCCAGGTTGGCTTCAAACCACAGATCTTCGCTTCCTAAGTAACTAGGATTACAGGTATGAGCCATCAGTCCCTAGCAAAAGTATACATTTTTATTTTGACATAATTAAAAAGTTAATTTTCTAAATACCAGGCTTACAAAAGTTATCACTAAAATTAACGAGAAATACTTTTCATTCTTACTTTTATAGATATGAAAACTCAGACAATCCTGAGCTTTAGTATTTTTACAACAGAATAGTAAGAATACTGTTCTTGTTTTGGGGTGAGTCAGGGAGGTGGTAGTATTGGGAATGAACTCAGGGCTGTGCACTTACTAGACAAGAACACGGCCACTTCAGCCAGCCTCCCAGATCACTTTGCTTTATTTTTCAGATAAGTGTTTCCACTTTTGCCCAGGATGGCCTCTGACCACAATCTAGCTGTCTTGCTTTTTGTCTACAGGTCCTTCCACTTATTGTTTCAACAACTGTTTCCCATGTTAGCTTTTCAGTAGGTGAGGAGTTCACAAATGCATGATATAAAAATTCAGAAAAGGCATTTGGTCTTCTGTAAAGCTGATCATTGTTGCTTTGGGTACAACTCCCCTACCCAGCAGATTCAACAAGTAATTCCTCTACTCCTAGTGAGCTTCAATTGCTGTTTCAAGCAGCCCAATTGTTGGTCTACACCTTACCAATGACTATATTCAGAAAGGGCATGACCTCTGTTTGAACCTACTGGGATTTCATTTTGCTCTATTTTGGGGAGGGTAGCAATAAAGGAATTAACTCTATTAACATCTATACCTCTCTAATAAGAAATGATGGTGAATAATAAAACATCAGAGATACAAAAAGACCTGGATCACTGAGTGGAAATTTGCAAAAATGTTACTAGTACAAATTCAGATTATTTCTGGTGAAAAGATCATCTAACAAAACCCACATAATAACAACCTAATAAAGTTCAGTAAATGCTTACATTAAAAAAAGACCACTATTCACATAGCATTTTAACTTGTTATCCCCCTAAACCATCCTCAAATAGCTGTTTACCACTGTACATTACGTCATGCTGTCTTAACAGTGAAGCTTTAAACCCAGTATTTTAAATGCATTGGTCGTAAAGATTTCTGTCTGTTCAGTTTTCTAAGAGTTCCAAAAATGCCTTTATAAACAGAACTTGTGTTATAGTCATTTCTTTATATGGCTGTTGAGCAGCTTTACTTACAGGCCTCCAAAATCAATGTAAAACCACCGCTGCAGAAGCTCATAGGTGACCAAAGTAACACCGAACTGGGGAGAAGACCGGAACACTCGAGCTGAAAAAGAGGTGGAGATTAGGTAGACTTACAAATAGGAAAACCGTGGCAAAGACAACTATTGAGTGCCCACAGGCAGGGCATTCAAGCCAGGGGGCTCCTACCTGCAGTCCCCTTCCAAAATGCAGAGGGCCCTTCTTCCCGGAGTATCTTTCTGAAACAGTCAATCAAACCACTGTATGTTGTCTGGCCAGCTCGGGCAGCCACTTGCAGCCTTGTCTTGATGACATCAGCAGGGGTCACCAGAGAAGCAGCAGGCACACCTTCCAGGAGAAAGTACATTTAATTCATCCACAGCACTCTATGCAGCTAGAAGTACAGCTAACATCCAACAACACAACATGCAACTTTAACCACTTGAGGGCAACTCCAAACTCCGTAAGTAGATTTCTAGGTACTATGGAGGGGAGAGAGGGGGAGAAGGGGCATTTAGGAGCCTATTAGCTGCTTGAGGATCAACAAGGCAAAATTATTTTATTTTTCTGAGTTAAAAAAAAATACCTTCCCAAAGAACTAGGGGAAGGGGAAAAAAAAGTTACTGAAGTATAACAGGACAATTCCCAAATGTTTCTGTTCAGCTTCACTTTTGTTTCTCCTTAAATACAAGAATGTTCATGTGCAATATATAATGGTCCTGCCAAATATAACTAGCCCCAAACTGTAGTGTTTGTGCTGATTCTTGCCAAGTGTTCTGTCCAGTGCAAGGTGAGTAATACTCATCACCTGTTGGAGGTGCTAACTACAGAACTGACTGGAACTCCAGTCAGACATGCTTATCTGACAGAAGTCATTACAACTAGAGCCAAAGGAAGCCAAGCGAGCAGTTAAGGAACACCAGGGGAGTTGATCATCAACAGGCCTTTCATCCACCCCCTGTGCCTGAGCTCCCTGGTGTCATGTTGAGATTGATCAGCAGCAGGACTCAGAGATGGATTTCACAACCACACTTTTTACTTATAAAACAAAACGGGACACAAAGGAGCAACATAACCTTCCCCATGGGGAAGAAATTCAATTTGACCTAAATATCACCGTCTCATCACTAGGCAGATGGAACTGGTGGCCTTGTGGGGGGCTCTGTTAGAAAATGATGCAAATACCTCCCTTGCAACCAGCGCTGCACCCTATTCAGATGACACCAGTAAATTACCTGTCTTTGGAGGTAAGATTCAGAATGTTCTCAGTCCCTGCCAGCAAAGTGTCAGCCACTGGCAAATGCCTGCCTCTGATTACACAGACTTCCCTGACTGCCGTTTGCTGCTGGGTGGGAGACACAAGGCAAAAGCCTGCAGGGAAGACTGGCCTTCACCTTAAATGTGGAGACTGGTAAGACACGCCATAGCAACAGTGCCCACACTGAGCAGGCAACTATACTGGCTTTTAACGTTCAGCTAGCCAAAACTGCAAATGTCAAAGGACAAGGGATTTGCTGGAACCCAAATATAGGCTGAACATTATTGTTTTCTTGAAAAAGGGTGTTGCTCTGTAGCCCAGACTGAGCAGTCCCCAGAAGCTGACATTACATATGTGCACACCACTCCTGGCTACTTTATTTTTCTTGTGTTTTTGAAACAGAATCTCACTATGCAGCTCAGGCTGGCCTTAAAATCAACTTATAGCCCAGGCTAGCCTCAAACTTGATTTCCCTACCTCATTACCTGAGTGCTACTATTGAGCCTAAAGGAGTTTTGTTTTTTTGGGGTGTGTGTGTGTGTGTGTGTGTTTGGGGGGGGGCATTGCTAGTCTTGGGGCTTGAACTCACAGCCTGGGTATTGTCCCTGAGCTTTTGTGCTCAAGGCTAGCACTCCAACACTCGAGCAATAGCTCCCCTTGTAGCTTTTTTGGTGGTTAATTAGATAGGAGAGCTGGGTTTGAAACCTCCTGAGTAAGCCAGGATTCCACTGAGGAGTTTTCAATCATCACAAGTCATCTATCCCCTATCACCAGACATAAGAATAACAACACACATCCATCTCAACATCCTCAGAAACCAAGGGCTTGTAACACACTACGCATACCACACTTTTAGCTATGCTCAGGCTATCCTGCTGCTTCGCCAGGCTACTAGAAGAGAATAAAGCCAGCACATGAGATTTAAATAGGGATCATGAATCCAGCTGATCAGAGCCATACTAGGCTCTTTAACAGCATATTACAAGCTATATGGAAAGCAAACACACACTATTTCATTCCTCCTTCTATTCAAAGTCAGCAACTTCACAAATGAAGGGTAAGCGTAGACCTAGGAGATCAGTACTAAGTGTCTTAGTACCTTCCAGCATTTGTGAGATGCCATTTTCAGATGGAATCTCTTCTGTACCTAATTTGGTAGATTAGATAAAAATTTTCATTCAATTTATGAACATTTGTTGAAGTCTATGATTACACTGGCCACACAGGGAAGGGAAGAGTGAGAATGAAATTCCAAGCCTCAAGTAGCTCTCAGCATAGTACAGAGGATAAAAACTTACACAAGCAATCATTAGCAAAAGACAAATGTTAAAGGTCACAAAAAAGAGGATCACAAAATTGGTTTGCTGAGGTGCTCCTCTCTGGTCTGGTGAGGGCTAAAGGGAGAGACAACTTTATGAAGCTCTATTTTGAGAGAAATCACGTAGATTCCAATATCCAGAGAAAGTAAGGGCATGCTGGACTTGTACATCAGTGTCAGGTGTAACAAAGCAACTGATTTGATGAGAACTTCTACCTTAATGCTTTGCTGGGATGCACCCAAGGTTTCAGGGGCACAGGAGGCTAAGAAGCATGTTAATGATGAAAGCCCAATTTAGATGGGCAGATCTAATTTGGCTCCAAGTTGCTAAGCTGCATTAAGTTGTTTATCCACATTATGCAAATGTAATTAACTCTCATCAGAATTACTGCACATCCCACAAAGGAGAAAAAGCAATCATATTTAACTAAGCCAGATACAAACAATAACTCTTCCAGAAGTGAGGGAAAAGTACATACAGATCTTGTCTTTTTTTGCAGGGGGTGAGGCATGGAGGGGGAAATGGGGAGGTGGAGGGAGAAAGGCATGCTGGGAATTAAATCAAGCTAGATCCCCAGTCCACCAGAGTCTCAACTTCTTAGAATAGGAAGATTTTTATTTTATTTTATTTTATTTTTTGGTCGGTCATGGGGCTTGAACTCTGGGCTTGGGCGCTGTCCCTCAGCTCTTCAGCTCAAAGTGAGCGCTCTACCACTTGAGCTACAGCACCACTTCTGGTTTTCTAGTGGTTTATTGGAGATAAGAAATCTCACGGACTTTCCTGCCCAGGCTGGCTTTGAATCGTGATCCTCAGATATCAGCCTCCTGAGTAGCTAGGATTATAGGCATGAACCACCAGTGCCCAGCTCAGAATAGGAAGATTCTTTAAGCTAAAAAATATTCTCTAGTTACCTGCCATGGCTCCGGCTGCAAGGAGATTTACACCTCCCACACGTCCATTTTCATCAGCCAGAAGTAGTTTGCAATGAGCATAAACAGGAAAATAGATTGCAGAGAAGGGAATGTCTCGGAGGAAACACGCTTTGGCACCCTGTCACATGGTGAGGAAATAGTGCAAAACAGTGTGTAAACAAGGTGTGAATGACCACTGGGATCCAGGGGGCTGCCAGTGACAAGCCTGAGATGTCCTTCAAACAGTATTAGAACTGATGTGGAAGGGAAAAGGGGGTGGGGAGGTGGACCAGTGGGACACAAGCAACATATGTGGCCAAAGCTTGCGAAAGGAAGTAGAGCTTGGAGTCCCAGACTTAATAACTGGCAACAACAGTATTCTCACAACCGATAATTCAGGATTTTAAAATTACTCAATTTATCTTCTGTTTTGAAAGCATAACATGAGATCTACTCTCTTTTTGTTGCTGCTGTTTTGTTCTTTTTTTGAAGACAGTCACTCTATGTAGCTTTGGCTATAAAATGCAAACTTGTGCCTCAGCTTCCCAATGCTGAAATTACAAGCATATACCACTATGCTCAGCTTCAAATGTTTAAATATATAATATTAATTATAAGCACTGTGCTCTATAGATTTCTGTAACTTGGTAATGTTGCTAAACAAACTTTAAATTCATTGCACTAGGTTCAGTTGTTTTTGTTTTTTTTCTTTTTTGGTTAGTTGTGGGGCCTGAACTCTGGGCCTGGGCACGGTCCCTCAGCTATTTAGCTCAAGGTTAGTGCTCTACCACTTGAGCCACAGCACCACTTCCAGCTTTTTCTGTTTATATGGTGCTGAGGAATTGAACCCAGGGCCTCATGCATGCAAGGCAAGCACTCTCCTACTGAGCCACCTTCCCAGCCCTAGGTTCAATTTCTTAAGGCTAATAAAAAAAAAAATCAGGTCTCAAACTTGAATGTTATTTGTTTTATTTGGCTTTTTTGGGGAAGTAAGTTGAGGGGAGTGGGTACTTCGACACCAACAATAATATCTTGATTCCTAAGCAACAAAGTAAAGGCAGCTCAAAAACTAACAAACTAATATATGCAATCTATATTCATTGAGAGCTTTGGATGGGTCAGGTAAAAATCTAGAGGCAGTAGTTGAAGGAGGGTATCTATTCTGGGAATTGCAAGAAAAGAAATTACAGATCTTTCCTTTTCATTCCCCCATGTCCTAAATAACAGAGGGCTGCAGAAGGTTTCCACGGGAGTAGTAAACAACGTAGAGACAGTTTGTCCCAGTATCTGAAATTGCAATGAACAAGTTGCTCAGCTTTGTCAGTGGCTCATGCCAGTTCACTGCCCAGGGTTGCACCTAAACAGGCAAGTGTGGGACCCTAGCACCTGCTTTCTTTTTCTTTTTTTCTTTTTCTTTCTTTCTTTCTTTCTTTCTTTTTTTGTCAGTCCTGGGACCTAAACTCTGGGCCTGGGCTCTGTCCCTCAGCTCAAGGCTAGCACTCTACCACTTGAGCCACAGCGCCACTTCCAGCCTTTTCTGCTTATGTGGTGCTGAGAAACGGAACCCAGGGCCTCGTGTATGCAGGGCAAGCACTCTACCACTGAGCCACCTTCCCAGCCCCAATATTTGTTTTCTTAACAGCTCTATTTTGAAGAGAGAGAGAGAGGGAAAAAAACCCACAGTCCAAAACTCCAAAGAATCAAAGAATAGAGAGAGAATATAAATTCATCTCTCAGAGGTAATTCCAAAAGGTATGTAAATTGGTGGTGGGCAGGAAATTGGCTGTGGGCAGGAAGGAGCAAAGTGGGGGGAAAACATTCTCAAGGGAGGCGCCATTGTTTGCCTGTATTGCCCATATCCAGAGAGCCCTGTGGCTGTGGGATTCTAATCTAGAGAATTTCTAATTTCTAATTTGCAGCTACAGAAGCAAATTTACACGTTTCTGCAGTGGTGGATCTATAAATAAATCAGATGCTGTGGAAACACAGTTGCCTATTAAGACTAAATTTAAGTATTCCCCCTTACACCAGGCAAAGAGATGGAAAGAAATACTCTTCCTTGTTTAAGAAAAATAATAGCTTCTGCTCCATTACATCTGATGTGTAATGATGGCAGTAAGTATACCTGCAGGGAAAGAATCTGTTGACTGGCATCTTGTTAAAGTACAGTACACTGTGGTTTTTTTTTTTAATGGAATTCAGTATTGACAAATCCTACCACTTAACTTCTTAAAAGACCCGAATCCTACCAAACTCCTCTACTGTTTTACTGTGTTTGAATGTTATGACAAAGAGAAAAAGAGAAGCTCCTCCAGGGAAGATATCAATAGAGATAACTAGAATGAAAATAAACATAAGACTATTTTGAAGTCTTAAACTCATCCAAACTTTTCCCAAGCCCTCTCCTCCCTATCCTCCCAATGAAAGGTTGTAAACTGAAGCCAGCAGTTGGGAGTAGGCCTCCTTGGGACAGCTTCTCAAAAAGCTGGAGAAAACAGGCCAATGTGCTCCTGGATCCTACTGCCTATAATATAAGTGCCTTGCTGAGCAAGATTGCTTCTCAAACTGGGGGTGGGGGAGAAGGGGTGGGGAGAAGCTTAGGTTCTGTATTTTTTCAAAACACATTTATACTGAGAACATTACAGTCTCTCTACTGAAACAGCCCACAGGAATCTACGTACCTTATATAGACCAAAAAGTCCCAAGTCCCGAAGCACATTCAGGGCGCTGACTCTGGGTCCAGTGGTGATCTCTCCTGCTACCTGCAAGCGAATCTTCACTATCTCCAGTGGGTTAGTAAAGATGACCTGAGAGCCTCCAGCCTACAGACAAGGGAAGGAGACACCATTTCCACATCAGAGCCAGACTGCCAATGAAAACACAGAGAAAAAAACAAAAAAAAAACAACAAGCTCCAATTGCAATTCTGCCCCTCTTTATATTTTCCTTTCAGATGGAGGAAGAAGAGTTCCATCCTATGCCTGATGTCGGGAGGCTAACAGGGATGTTCCTAAAGTCTGCCTTGGGTCAGTCTATGATTGCGTTTATTTCAATCTGAAATATCAAGACTGTTTCTCAGAACAGCCTTTCAATGATGACCCCCCCAAGCATATTCAAAGTAGAGCAACCCCAATTGGAAAACAAAAGTGAATCCAGATGTAGCTGTGGGGCCCTTGGTGAGAGAGGGTAAACCATGCTAGCAGGCTGTCATCTTTTACAGGCTGGAGCTGAAATTCCGATCTAGAGTTGTTTCCTTGCTCTTCTTAACAAAGCACTCTTTAGCCTAGTCACTTGCCCAATAAACATAACTGGAGCCTTCGGTCAGAGAGAGATGAGTCTCCTTTGGCTCACACTCTAAAATGTATAAGCTTAGCAAAATGCTAAGACCAGCATACACCTAACACACACAAAAGGAAGGAATTTTTAAAGACAAATTTCAGGATCACTGCAAGACAAAACCAGAAAAACTCTTCAAGGCAGAGCTAGGAGGTGGGACATGTAGTTACCCTGAGTACAACACTCTCAGAGCAAAGCCACAGTCCACATTCTAGTGGTGAGTGACAGATTTGAATCTGGATAATAAGTTTATTCTCATCTGAAATCTGATAACTGGTAGAGAGAATAATAATATAATTGCTATCTTTTGGTAGCAGTTTCTATAACAAATAAAGGTATGTGCATGAGTGTGTGTGTGATGTGTGTGTGTGTGTGTATGAGTGAGAGAGAGAGAGAAAGAGAGAGAGACACACACACACACCTTGGATATAAAAAAATAAAAATATAACGTCTTTTTTTTTTGCTAGCCCTAGGGCTTGAACTCAGGAGCCCTAGGCACTGTCCCCTAAGGGTTTTGTTCTGTTGGGTTTTTTTGTTTTCTTTTGCTCCAGGCTATTGCTCTACCACAATAGCTCCACTTCCCACTTTCTGGTGGTTAATTGGAGATAATCTCAGGGACTTTCTTGCCCAGGTGGGTTTAGAAGCACAACCCTCAGATCTCAGCCACTTAGTAGTTAGGATTACAAGTGGGAGCCACTGGTGCCCAACAATGAGGAAATCACCCTTGTACATCTTCATTTTAAACTGTGGCTGTTGATAATAAATAATCATAACTGTTAGTTATACAATATTCAGTTATATTCCTATAGCCACAATCATATTATATAATCATTACTCAACTACAATGCACAGCCCATACAAAATAAGACGTGTATACCTCACTGGGACATTGATATTCCAAAGGCATCAAAACACTATAGCACCTAAAGCACACAACCTGCACTGGCACTTCAACACTTTACCTTCATTCCAGCTCAGGTATCTAAATCTACAACTCTTCCAGATTCCTTTTCAAAGGACAGAATGGTGACTCAGCGCATTTTCCTGATCATGCTGGAGCTTAAACACCCCTCACTTACTTAGGTTTCAGTCCTGACCTTACTCCTTTCAAATCCACAATTGCCCACAGTGACTGACACAAGGGAAGCTTATTTATCCACCAAGCAGGGATGGAGGCACAGTGATTTGCTGTCTCTGTTTCTCTCTCCAGTAACTCCCCAACTTGACACTCTAGACCACCTCACACAGGTCCCCCAACAATGCAGTGACCCAATTTTACATGGTGATTTGCTATGTTTCTCTTTTAATCTGTTGCACTGCAGGCAGAAGGAAGCATTTCAATGTTTTAATCTAAGCACACAATACTTTCAAAAGGATTGCTGGGTGTAAATTATGCCAAAATGATAAGCCAAGTAATTGTTCCTTCAGCTAGCATTAAAGATCAAACTAATTGAAAAAGTTTAGTACTTCCCAGAAATCTATTGTTTAAATAATGCCAGCAAAGACTATCGTTAGGGAAACATACTTTACATTCTAAACGAAAGCAGGTTTTTAGAAAAGAACTCTAAATTTTAATTTAAAATCCCCCAAATTTGTCATCACCGGACAGAGTGAACCACTGGGTGCCGAGTGTTAAATGTGGACAGTATATTTAAATAAATACAAAGCTGTTTTGTAACAGCCTGCAGAGCTATCTGAATACCCCAATCTCCTTCTCCTACCCCAGTCCTAACCCCACTCTCTCTCTTCTCTAGTATCTTATGGGCCCTTTTGAAAACAATTGCTATTTTATTAAGAGGTGCACTCCTTTCACAATCCTTCTAATTTCTGAGTACGCAAGAAACAAGCTTTCTACTAAAACTCTATTACCACAGTGCAATTGAGGGGAGGTCATGACTATGTTTTAAAATACATTCACATTCCCGGATATGAAAACAAGAGGCTCTTTTTTCCTTTTTTGCTGTTTTTGTTTGTCCATTTATATGTCTTGGGGAGAGTAAGGGAAGGCACAGAAATGGAGGGACAAAGGGTGAACAAATACAGCAATGGTTCTCACTAGACACTAAGCTGAAAATGAACGATAGAACTTGTAGGTGGGGATGGGAGGGAAAAACTGGGAGAGAGCGAGGAAAGGGGTAGAATTATCCAAAAAGAAATGTACACTTTACCTGACTTACTTAACTGCAACCCCTTTTAACTGTATTTTTTTTGGAAGGGGGGGGTCTTCCTTTTTGGTACTGTCACCAGATGGAGGTGAGGTTTAGTGAAGCTTCCCTCCATCCGGTGTCAGTACTGGGGATTGAACCCAGGACATTGTATTTGCTAGGCAAGTGTTTTGCCATTGAGCTACATCCCTGTATACCACCTTTATAATAAATTTTTTTAAAGAACATGATAAAATATTCAATGTCATATGTCAATTAACAAATAAAGACAGGCTGGGTACTGGTGGCTCACTCCTGTAATCTTAGCTACTCAGGAGGCTGAGAACTGAGGATCACAGTTCAAAGGCAGCCTGGGCAAGAAAGTCCATGAGACTCTTATCTCCAATTAACCACCAGAAAACCAAAAGTGGTGCTGTGGCTCAAGTGGTAGGGTGCTTGCTTTGAGCTGCAGAGCTCAGGGTCAGTGCCAAGGCCTGGAGTTCAAGCCCCACAACTGATGGGGAAAAAAAAAAATGAAGACATACGGTATGAAAAAAAAACCAAGAGTAAATGTGCAATAGCTCCCATTGTTATAATCAAGAGTAAATGTGCAATAGCTCCCATTGTTATTTATCAGACATCCCATTACAGAGCTCAGTTTTGAAAAGTCTCTGTGAAGAATTTAATGGAAGTCTGGATATGTGGGGGGGGGGTGCAGTGAGAAGTGTTCTGCATAAATGTCTCAAAACATATTTCAATTTAAAAATCAATACACTGTCAAATATTTTTTTTAAAAAATACATTCACATTGCCAAGCACCAATACCCCTTGCCTTTAATCCTAGCTACTTAGGAGGTTGAGATCTGAGCATCAAGGTTCAAGTCCAACCCAGGCAGGAAAATCCATGAGACTTTTCTCTCCAATAAACCACCAAAAATAAGCTGGAAGTGGAGCTTTGGCTCAGGTAAAAGCATGCTAGCCTTGACCACAAAATCTCAGGAACAGAGTGCAGGCTCTGAGTTCAAGCCCCAGGACCAGCACAAGAAAACCAGTAAGTGTTTACATTAATTGTTGTACACTTTGAAGATTAGTTATCTAGCACAAATAGTAAATCCCAATAATGAACTGGACATAATCATACACATAATCTGGCAAGGGAACATGCAAATACTGACATAATGACACAGCTATGTGACACACATCTATCAGTATGTTTCACATCTTACACAGTGCCATCTTACACAGTGCCACAGTGCCACTTCTGGTTTTTTTCTGCTTATGTGGTGCTGAGGAATCGAACCCAGGGCTTCATGCATGTGAGGCAAGCACTCTACCATTGAGCCAACTTCCCAGCCCCGTCTCTATGGCTTTTTGGCGGCTAATTAAAAATAAGAGTCTCACAGACTTTCCTGTCTGGGCTGGTTTCAGACTTCAGTCCTCAGATTTCAGCTCTGGAGTAGCAGGATTATAGGCATGAGCCACCAGTGCCCAGCTGTTTGCAAATTTTAATAACAAAAAGTATTAAGCAAATAATTCAAACACCCCAAAATTCAAATACTTAAATTTTTACTTCAGTACTTTCTTAAGTAATTTTTAAGAACCTAAGTAAAAACACATGCTTTTAACAAATAAATTTAATAGAATCATGCCAAATTACTTGTAACATAAAATATTAGTTACATATTCATCACAAGCATGTAAAACATTACCTACATTGACCAAAATCAGAGTGGCTTAAAGATGAAAATTTTAGTTGCATCCTAGACAAAGACGCTAAGAAGTTGGAATAATTTTCATAGCATATCCTAGTGTACATTTCAAATTTCTAATCATCAGAATGGAATAAAGCTACTCAAAATAAGAAACAGACATAGATTTAAATGGACATTGCAAATTTTGATATCTTGCTACTTTAGGTAATGATATAACTTACATATAAACACAGTAATATCATACCATTCCATACAATATATTCGGTAATTTTCTTACTCAGCAAATCACCAAAATTAGCTAATAAACCCTCAAAATGCTAAATTCTCTCATCAAATATGTTGCTTATTTTTCTTAATGAAATGCAGGCTCAGATCCTTTACTTTTTCAATATTCAGTTGTTCTTTGTATTATTGTCCTAGCATTGAATTTAAAATATATAAAAAGAGAATTAATTTCTCTTGGAATGAGGGTTTCCCATGTAACAGAAATAAAAATGCAAAAACTTTATCAATTTTTTTTTAATGAGAAAATAAACCAACTTAAGGCAACAGCAAAAGATGATGGAAAAGGATGTCAGCACTGAGATGTCACAGGCCTTCACTGTGCCCAAGGCAAAGGCGCTGCACACAA